GATGTTCCACAACATTATTTAAGTAAGTTTTATTTCTTACTTATTACCTACAGTGGCTGGCAAACATAAGAAAGAGTGGGCGTGCTATTTTAGCTTTAGTATATTGTAGCATGGGTTGGAGCTGATTCTTTGCTCACTCCCCTGTGGATGGTAATGTATTAATTTATTCATGGTACTCACACACTCATTGGTTAAGTCAGCTCTACACCCAGTTATATTATTCTGTAGCATGTTGCTCAAAAGTAAAGGTACTGTAGGTTGTTTGCAGCTAAACGCATGGACGAAGGTTATACTCCTGTTCTGTGCCTGAGCAAGAGCTCCGGCACACAGACAACTGTAAGCTCCAGTAAAATAGGAGAGTTACAAATCTTCTGTCACTTTTTCTAAGACATTGATGAGTGCTGGCTCTTCTGTATTGCACGAATATTATCAGTAAACACCCAAGCTAACTGCATCCTTGTTGTCTTGTTGTGGCAGCTGCTCTACAAACACAAACTCCTCAAGTAGTTTTAATAATCCAGTGAACACTATATTATTTACCTAGCTGCCAAAAGAACATGAAGATAAATAATTGTGCTACACCTGTGTATTTTTTTTCTAACCAATAAAAGTTAATCAGTGCAATATAAATATAATCACACTGATGACAAGGTCATAATATAAGAGTTTTCTGTACCTGAGCAAGTAACACCAGCATCTTCACTATGGTCACAGTCATGTTTTTCAAATCCATTATGAGAGCACTGTGTGATGTTGCTTTCACTTCCAGAACACTGAACATCATCCAGCCATATTGAGCCACGTCCCTGACCAAAGTGAGCACTTTGAGGTGCGCTGACAGCATTACCACATCCAAGCTGTCTACACACCACCTGCGCATCATTCATGTCCCAGTCGTCATCACACACTGTTCCCCACTGGTTATTATAATACACTTCCACTCTACCAGAGCAGGAGTGATTGCCACCAGCAAGTCGTATGTTAGCGCCATCTAAGACAAACAGCAAAACGCAGGTTAATATTAATTAATAATAATGAATCTCATTACAATATTACCAAACACTTGGACGGATATGATCTGTCAGTCCTATTTGTTTCTCAGAAATGTCTTTTACATAATGAATAATGAACCTTCTATAATTTGCACTAGGTAAATCTTATACTGTATGCTTACACCTTTTAAATCCAATTTGTTACTTTTTTTTTTACCCACCACCTCCCCCTCTGTTTGGAGGTTGTTGTAAGTAAAGGAAGAGAAAGAAAAAATAAGAAAGAAAAAAAATTAAAAATACAGTCCTTGCTAATCTTAATTCTAATCAAACGCTTTAAGATTCTGGGGTGGAGTTTTGTGTACATGGGAGGGCATTGAGGCGGACTGAAAGAGTTAAAAAAATTCATTCAAATGTTGTTGAACTCCCCTACTTTACTGTTAAATACCTAATATTGACTAATTTTGACTAATATTTCATGATGTACATTTAATAGCTGTAGTTTATGACACCTCAGAGGTTCACAAAAAGTGAGTTTGATGCCCCTGATCTAGAGAGTAAATCAAATTTTTTCAAATGAAAAATACACTTACCAGCCAGCAGAGAAGCTCTAAGAACACAGACTATGGAGAGAAAATAAACAGAAGGAATTTCATCAAACCAGTGATGTAAAAACTCAAAGCTGTCTTTTGTCTAATAATCTTCATAATAATAAACTAAACTTCAGCTATATCTGAATATATTATATTGTCCCTGCAATTCGGTCACAACTGAAACAACAGTGTTACTTCATCCTCTGCACTTCCTGCAACAGAAATAAAGCACTTGTGTATGATCGAGTTT